CATTAACTTGTATCTAATGGGATGCTCAGCTATTGGACGTGAAGCAATTCCAGTTTAATTATGTTGGGAGAAAAGCTGAGTGTTGGGAGAGAACCTGAGGCAGAGCTTGCATGTCTGCTCAACTTGCTGGCTCCTTGCTTCTAGCACTCTCATTATCTCAAGTAGCCATATGTTTCAAAGAAAATGCTAAACTGTCTTGATACACTGCTTCCTTTCAACCCCCACCTCCTCACCACCTGTTTCTCTGAGCACCAATAAACAGTGTGGGCTCCCAGAGCTCAGGGCCTTCACAACCTCCACACTCACAATGGCCCCCTGGTCCCACTTTCTCTCTCAAACTTTCTCTCATTCCTTAGACTCCATTGGACTTCATCACCCCCACGACCTGGTGTTGGGTCTGATCACCCCAAAAAATTAGGCGTCAGGAAGCTGGGCATTAATCGAAGTAACAAAAGACTCAGCACAACACAACCTGGGCCCTGCTCAGAGAGGCTGTGGTCTAGGCATGAAGAGTTGATGAAGCGCAGGACCCAGGCCCAGCACTGTCCACATGTCCACATGCCCTGGCTCACCACCCATCTGGAGGCCACCTAGGCCTTGCACCCTGACCTCCCTGGCCACCATGGCCCAGGTCCAGCCTCTCTGGGCTGGGCTTTGTGTGCTGAGTCCCCAGGGGCAGGGGATGGTGACTCAGCACACCGGATAAGAGCAGTGGCACCCAGGAATGGCCACAAGGTCCCAGCAGCCATGGAGACCCGTCACACGCCAGCACCTGGCTTTGGCCAAAGCCCTTTCCCCACTCCCCCCTCCAGCCCTCCTTCCACTAGAATTTGGACACCCCTCAATGGACACAGACTCTGGCTACCCTCAGCTTCCTCCTCCCACCCTACCCCAGTGAGGAGCCCACAGGAGATACCTAGGGACACGCCAAAGGCAGAGTTCACAGGAGACGAAACAAAGATACCAAAGCCAGAAGTGCCACCTGCAGTGGAGTCAGGCTGCCATGCCGGACCCTCCTGGCCTCTACTTTTGACCTTTGCCCCACAGCCTGCGCCCCTCCCCTCCCTCCTCCTCTCACTCCTGTTGGGCCTTTGCCTCCCCCAAGGCCATGAACACAAATCATGTAAGGTTTGCCTCTGTTGTATTTATGAACACATTTTAGGAGACTGTTTTTTGTTTTGTTTTGTTTTTTGTTTTTTTGAGATAGGGTCTCACTCTATCACCTGGGCTGCAGGGCAATGGTGCGATCTCAGCTCACTGAAGCCTCCACCTCCAGGGCTCAAAGGATCCTCTCACCTCAGGCCCCCAAGTAGCTAAGACTACATACAGGCATGCACTACCATGCCCAGCTAATTTTTGTATTCTTTTGTAGGGAGGAAGTTACCCTCCCTATGTTGCCCAGTCTGGTCTTCAACTCCTGGGCTCAAGCAATCTGCCTGCCTCAGCCTCCCAAAGTGTTGGGATTACAGGCATGAGTCAATGCACCCACCCTATGACTTTTTAAGGGCAGATGAGTTGGGGTCTTTGTTTCTTTTTCGAAGGAAAAACAGAAAACTAGATTACGATCCCCAGTCAACTGTCCCCCACGTTGGCTGCCTCTGGGTCTCCTCTGTCTGGGCCTGCACTTGGGGCCTCACAGCTGTGATGCTCTTGGCACCAGACCAGGCTCCAGGCTGCCAGGCCAGAAGAGAACCTCAGGTGCTCTGGTCTAAGGCATTTCTCCCCAGCCCCCGAACAGCATCACCTCCTTCTGCCTTGATGTTCTACCTCTTGATGTTCTACCTGCTCTCCGCCTTTGCTTCTCTGCTGAGGCTGGACGGAGAAGTCTGGCCTCAGCTACCTCTTACAGAGGTGCTGACATCTGCTGCCCAGTGGGCCTCGGGCTGGGTCCAGGCCTAAAACCCCATGTAAGCCAAGCGTGTAGCACTGACCAAAGGGCCCTTCCCTCTTGCACTCACTCAGTGGGGGCTGACTGGGCAGGAGCCCTGGCTCCCCAGTTAGACTTAATCCTGCCAGCCCAGGGTCCCTGGTACAACACTGAGAGGACCCCAGCCACATGACGAGGGTAGATGGTCTCCACGGAGCACTGGCTGCTGCTGGCCCCAAGACACACACCCTTGAGCCTCCCATCAGCCCAGCAGGATCCTGGTTCCGTGAGGCCTCTGGGTTCAGCCAGGGGGTGAGAATTCGGGGACACCCAGGCAGCAAGTAGCAGACCCTTATGAAAGGACCTGGACAGGGGTTCTGTGTGAGGGGCTCGTGGCTGCGCCCAGAGTGGGGGCTCCATGGCTGTGTTGTGTCCAGACCTTCCCTGCACCAAGGTACTCAATGCCTTCCTATCGACGTTTCCCATAATGGTGATTTTATTTTCCCCATCAGTCAAGACCCAGCCCTGCCTGTGCGCTTTTGCAGCCCTGTGCAGGAAGCTTCCAGCCTCAGCCTGAGCCCAGTCCCTCAGCCCCCCATCTTTGTGAAGAACTATCCCTGGAGCCAGTGCAGCCTGGCTCCCGCCCCCTCGTCTAATGCTGGCTGTGCAGAGGCAAGCAGTTAAGTAGAGGGAGACTGCATGGTCCTGTATAGCAATCGTGCCGGCCCCCACACCAGACAGTTGCCCACCCTCCCTCCTATTGTGTTTCTGATGGTTCTCTCAGAGCAGATGTGGGTGGGCCCAGTGATGGTTTTCAGGTCCCCAATTCTGCCCCGCCTGCCACTTGGGTGATCTTTGATAAGTTTCAGACCCATCCTGTCCCCCCAGCTATCCCTGGGTGCTACCTGCAGGAAAGAGGCCTGGCTCAGGCTCAGTGAGAGACGGAGAACATTGTGTCTCAGATGTCAGCATGTTCATTTTCCAGTTTCTAATCCTCTTTATAAAAGAACAAAATGGAATAAAGTCAGATTCTGCGTGGAGGCTGCAGGAAGGCAAGGGTGACTGCCTGGGAAACCCTGGTCCTTGGGGCTGCCCCATGGTGTGCCCAGGGGTGATGGTCAGGAGGCATCTCCATGGGGCACCAATGTTCAGGGTACGGCAGTAGGACTGTGTCTGCCTGTGGGCCGGTGTGTGGGTGCTCAGGGCTGGCTTGGGGATAACAGTGTTTGACTCGCTAATGCTTTTACTTAGACTAGAAGTTTTTCCTGAAACTATGGTCTCAAGAGATGCTCCCCACAAAAAAGGAGTTCTAGTATCCATCGGGTTTGATCAATCCCAGGCTCTTCCTGTGTTGGGGCTGAGTCGGCAGGGGCAGCAGACATGGCGTGAAGGTGTGCTTCTGAGCATCACACTTGGCCCTCCTCTCCCAGGAGCCTCTCGTTGTCCCTGTCCTTCCTGCCTTGGCTGTCCCCCGTGCTGGAGCTCCCACAGTTCTCCATGCCATCTCCTCACCTTGGCAAGTCCCGCTCCTGGATCGAGGTTAGAAAACACCCTGTCCCACCCTGCAGGCACTGTCCCATGCCCTGAGTCATAGGCAGAGTCCCTCCTTCTCCTTTGATTTTTTTTTTTTTTTAACCAGGATGTGAGATCCTGGTTGGTTTCCTTTGCTTGTTTCCAGTCCATAAAAGGTGCTTGGTGCATGGCAGCTTGAGACATCTGAATGAGTTATGTGGTGAAATTTTATTGGAGACAGTTGAGCAGTTCCCAGGCAGCGTCTTCCTCAGGGCATGTCCGTCAGAGTGGCTGGTTGGCCCCACATGACCCTGCAGAGCCCATGGGTCCTGGGGCAGGAGTCGTATCATAGGCCCCTGTGGACGGTCACCCAGCTCATTGTCCTTGTCACCAAAGCATGCCTCCCTCCAGCTGGATGCAGACTCAGCCTGAGTTTCACACATTTGTTATTTAGCATCCATTCGGGGGCTGGCCTCATGCCAGTCACACTGTTTTAGGGACTTGGGATAAAAAACATTGACAAGTCTGGGCACTCAAGTACTAGCAAGTCAAGTTAGGTACTCCTCTTCCCCAGCAGAACTGCCAAGGTGTGGATACAGAGGATGGTCTCAAAATGCCTGCTGCTGTCCCCAGGGAGGCCGGCCATTCTCCTTTTTATCCACCAAGCGGTGGTCAGGCACCTACTGTGTGCCACTGGAGTGACTCATGAGTGGGGCCCTGAAGGGGCAGAGTCCAGGTGGGAACAGTGTGCTCAGGGCAGCAGGGATTGGGCCAAGCAGGCGGCACCTTCTGTGGTCTCTCTACCCTGGATGGGAACTGGAGTGATGGACAGAGTGGAGAAGCAAGTGGCTTCGGGTGGTCTTCACCATGACACCGACACTGAAAGCCCAGTCACCAAGAGACCATATCTCAAGGCCCCATGGCTGGGGTTAAATGTTGTGGTCGGGGATGAGCAGCGGGGCCCTGTGGGGAGAGAGTTCTGGCAGCCCAGGACAGCGGCTTCCCTGTGTCTTTCAGCTGCTGTATGTTGCCAGGAAACTCTAAGGCAGGGGCTATTCAACAAGCTCACGAAGATGACCTTCTACGGGCAGTTTGTAGCCGGTGAGGACCAGGAGTCCATCCAGTCCCCGATCTGGCAAAACAGGGCCTTTGGTGTCGGCTCCATCCTGGACTATGGAGTGGAGTGGAGTGGGACCTGAGCCCCAAGGAGGCTGAGCACAAGGAGATGGAGTAAGGCCTACCTGGTGTCTGCAGGCGTTCTGACAATGACCCCGGAGCACCCAGTGGGAGCAGGTGGGACGTGTCCAGCTGCTGGACTTCAGCCTCAGCTGGGCAGAGGCCAAGGCTAGGAGAGCTTGGTCAGCTCAACTACCGACGGCCCTCCTGGGTTCTGCCTGGAGTTCTTGCATTTTTGTTTCATGTAGATGACAGCTCTCAGCTTTCACGGGAGGCCTGGTGTGTGTGAGGCCTGAGGAAGCCGAGCACAGAATGGCCCTTGGCCCTATCTAGCCCACCGCCTGGAGGAGGACAAGCACCAGCACATGAACCAAGCACTATGCAAAGAATGGTTGGTTTCGCCTGGATCTCTCATGAGCCTCGTCTTCAGGAAGCGGACAGCAACATGTCCTTGCTCTGTCCTGATGCCCTGGAGAGCACGTCAGGGTGGTACCAACTGCCCTCTACACTCACTGCCTGGGAAGAGGCCCTGTATCAGGTTAGTGACCTCCAGGAGCCGATTCCAGGCCAGCCTGCCACACTGCTCCTGGCTTCAATTCCCTTTTCCACTAACACTGGATCAGGGGCCAGGCGTGGGAGGTTCCACACCTGCAGGGCAGGCTGGGAGGCCAGGCAAGGGTCAGACAGTGGGATCTGCCTGGGGGTCAGGAGTCCCTGCAGAAGAGAGGCTGTAGCAGAGCCTCCCCCATCGGCTCAGCAGAAGTTTGTGTAAACAGCCAGGTAGCACACACTCAGCCTGAAGACACACCCTCCCTGCCACAGTGGCTTCACTCTGCCTCGGTAGGGCCACAGTAATTTGAATTTCATCTAATTTTCTTGTGTCACAAAATATTATTCTTGTTTTGATTTCTTTCAAACTTTTTTTTGTACAAACAGGGTTTCTGCTCTGTTGCCCAGGCTGGAGTGCAGTGCTGCCATGGTTCACTGCAGACTCCAACCTTCTGGGCTCAAGTGATCCTCCCATCTCAGCCTCCTAAGTAGCTGGGAACACAGGCATGCACCAGCATACCTAGTTAATTTTTTTGTGTGAAGACAAGATCTCCCTATATCTCCCTATGTATTTGGATCCCCTGCACCCTGACAGCAGCTGGGCCTGACCCACATGAGGCTCGGGACAGGCCCTCTGTGGACGTTGTCAGGCCTTGGTGTTCGCTCTGCCCCTCTCTAGGTGGCTGGCCTGGGAAGGGGAGGGAAAGGCAGTCACATGAGGCCTCCAGCTCCAGGAAAGAAATGTCCATGCCGTGTCTCAGTATGCCGGCTGCCAGCTTCCCCGGGGAGGAATGGCCAGGGGAGCCCAGCTCCTGCCTTGCGATTGGCTATTTTGAAGGTGGGGTGCTCCAGTTCCAGCGCTCTGTGGGCCTCACAGCTGCCTGGGCCCTTGACTGTAGCCTTTGCTGAGCTGCCAGTTGAATAACCAATGCTTGTGTGTCCTCAGAAGGAGTCTGGGTGGGGACCTGGTTTCACAGTGGGGTTTTTCCTCTCAGGCGCCTCTGGTATGAAAAGACTCCTTTCCCAGGTGGTCCTGCCTGGCTTCCTCCCTGCTCCGCAGGCTGAGTGTCTGGAGGTGGGCTGGCCTGCAGACTTTGCCAGGGGGTTGGGCACCTGTGCCCTTAGGAGCCTGAGTCCATTGCCCTGCAAAGGCTGCACCTCTTTTACTGTTGGCAGCTGCTGTCTGCAGGGTCCCTGCTCCAGCTCTGGGAAGTAAGCAGGGTTCCCTCCTGTCCTCACAGGGGTGCGTGATGAGGACACCCACTCAGCTCTACTGCTCTGTGCCTTCAGAGGGGCCTGAGCCATGAGGATAGAGCTGGGCTTGCAAGCGCTGGTCTGATGTCCACACTGCAGCATGGCCTGCCTGGTCAGGAGTGACCAGTCATAGACTCTAGTGCAGGGAACTGCTTAGAGATCTGCCTTCCTAACCTAGCTTCCTGTCACAAGGGCCATGGGCTCTACTCGGGAGTGACACTGAGGCCACTGCCCCAAATAAAGGCCATGGGGAGTGGTGCTGGCCTAACCGTGAGAGGTCCAGGGAGAATGGAGGCGTCTGAGTGCATGGCGAAGCAAATCTCAGCAGTCCTCCCAAAAAAGGAGGAGGTGGGAGCCTGGAGGTGCAACAGGGCAGTGCCCACCCAGAGGAGGAGTGGGACCTTGCTTCCCAGAGGCCAGGGCCCCACCCGACCCCAGGAGAGGAGTCCCAGGGATCCCCCAAGCAGGCTGAGGACTGGGGAATGGGAAGGAGCCAAGGCATCTTCATGATGATTGGGCTGTGAGAGGACACCTAGCAGGTGGATGGGGGCATCGGTCAGGCTGTGCAGGCCCATGGCTGGCTGGAGGCGGGGTCTGGGCCTTAGTCTCCAGGCTGGGGCAGCTCACTTGGGATATGTGTGCAGTGTGTGTCCTGAACGAGTGGCTGAGGCGGCAGGGACTAGGGGAGCTGGGGAGGGGGGTACAGGTAGAAAGGGGCTTGCCAGGCTTCCCTTCAGGGGAGAGTTGGACAGGGGTGAAGTATGGACCCCCACACTCTGCTTTTTCAAACAGGTATCACATCCCCGGGGACAGCTACCCAGAGCTGAGCTCAGTAGAGGCTGAGGAGGTGATCAAGGTCTTCCTTCTGTCTCTGAAGACCCCCTGGGGACTCATGCTTGTCCTCCTCTGCCCACGTTCCCTTGTTGTTTTTCCCTCCTCCATGTCCTGGGCTGTGCCCACGTGTACAAGCATATGACCTTCCACAGACAATGCCCTGGCATGATGAGAGGTGGGGCTGGGGGAGCATGAGGCAGGCCCCGGCTTTAAGGAGGCACTGGGATGTGGTCCCCACCCTGATCAGGGCCCCATGTCCACCGGTTCACCCTTCTTCCTCTAACACCCCACGGCTGCCAGTGCCATGTGTCCCCCCCTTCCCTGTGGTGCATTGAGCCATGATGTGGCAATGTCCCAAATGGCAAAAGCCAGACTTCCCGTGTGGCATCGGCAGTTCTGAATCAGCTTCCACCCCTCCAGTGGAAACAGGACCTCTGACCTGCCTGGAAACCACCATTTGTGTCTCCTTGTGACTAACCCATGATGCCTGTTGGAGATGTGGCCCTGTCCTTGCCGTGTGGCTGTCCACTCTGAGACCCAGCTGCCCCTCTGGCCACTGCACGTGCTCTGCGGTTGTCTTGGCCACTCTGCTTGGCTGTGTGAGCCTGGTCTGTGCTGTGGAGGTTCACGGAAGGAAAGCGCAGCAGCAGCCTTCAGTGTTCTGCCTCTGAAAGTGTCACAGCAGGAGAGGGAGTGGTCCTGGCTTCCCCAGCCTCTCCTTCCGGGCCCACCTCGAAGGATGAACACAGCAGCTGTGGGAATGCTGAGTGGAAACTCATCTGCCTGGGGACCTGTCAGACGATGATCCTGTTCCATGAAGATGGGCTGCCTCACAGACACCTGTATGGTTATGGCCCATGTTATCCAAACTGTAGGCTGTGCGGTTTCAGGACAGGACCTTCTCATCAGGGTCATGGAAGCCCGTGAGGCCCTGTCCCCACTGTCTGCTGTTCCTTGCCATGAGGGTTTCTGCCCTGGGCAGGGCCCTGGCTGCCGCCTCAGCCTTAGCATAGAGAGTGAGACCCCCTGAGGATGGCTTTTGCTCGGCTGTAGACGAGCCTCCGGGGCTGACCTCATGACTGGTCTGGAGTTGCCCAAGCCAGGGCCCCAGGAGCTCCCTATCCAGGCAGGCAGGGGGTCATGTGCTGCCTGCCTGTTCCCTAGTCACATGGTGACATTCAACCCTTTTGTCACATCTCTGTGTCAGCACAAAGCAGCCAGAGCATGTGTGCCTGCCAGTTCCCATGCCTGGGCTGCAGCCTCACGGGCCCTGGCAGCACGTGTGGAGTCCCTGACCCATGTGGGGCTGCCGAAGAGCGAGTGGGAGTGAACGCCTCCTGGTGGGGCTTCCTGGCCCAGGGCTTGCTCCTTGAGCAGATTTGGAAGGTGGAAAGCAGGCAGCTGAGGTCCCTTGATGCGGAGGCCTCTGGGATGCGCCCAACTGACCACTGCTCTGCCTCTACTCTTCCCGGGACTTGAGGGGGACCCTGTCCTTTCCTGTGAGTGTGGAAAGAGCTGTCCCCGAGGGGCTGAGCGCCTGTGGGGAGCCTCAGAAAACCTCTGGATGCTGTTGACCATGCAGCCAAGCTCTCTCCATGGTCACTGACTTAATCAGGCTTTTAATATAAAGTCAGATGACCCACAGAGCTGCTCCCGGGACCAGGGAGACCATGGTGACTTTATCACAGTAGACTTAACAGCTGCAGCAACTCTTGCTAGCCCTAATGACACAGCACTGAAACCAAGTGCCAGGAAGCAGACTGCAGCCAGGAGGAGGAGGAGGAGGAGGAAGAGGAGGAGGCGGCGGAAGCGGAGGCGGAGGAGGAGGAGGAGGAGGAGGAGGGTGTTCGCAGTGGCAGGGCTGCGGGGCTGGTGGGGGAGAGGAGCCAGGCACCCTAGAGGAGAACCTGCAGGAAGAACAGGGGCTTGGCTGAGCAGAGCATGGCCAGCCTAAGCTGGGGGCAGCCTGCATCCTGGCCTCACCGGTCTCGAGGTGCCCAAGCCAGGGGCCCAGGACTTTGGGCATTATTGGGAAATGATGGCAGCCCAGGGTGGGGTGGCATTAAACAAGATGAGATGCTAAAATCTGCTTTCACTTTAAAGGAATGTTTCTGGTTGTTGCTTGGAAAAGAAGAGTCAGAGGCAAGACTGCTGCAGGAGGGCCAGCCTGGAGAACAGAATGGAACTGCAAGGCCAGCTGCTCGGGGGCGGGAGCCTGCACCGGGGTAGGAGCCTGCATTTACATCAGAAGGTGCCTGGGAGACCCTGGCTCTGGCACAGAGGCCTGAGTAAGGGGGCCTTGGGGATTTGGGGACCTCTGTGTGCTGGTGCCTTCCCGCCTGCGTTCCTCTCAGCCCTGACTAGCTCTGTCTTGGAACAGGGTAACTACCTTTATTTGAGAACCTGCTGCAAGCCCTGGGGCTGTTCTGAAAACCCAGGCGTATGGTTTTGATTTCTCCACCCACAAGGAGCCCTGGGCTTCCTGAAACCTTGGGCCACAGCAGTCCCGCAGACTGCTGCCCCCCTCCCCGGGCCCAGGTGAACACTCCAGGCTGGGGCGGGGCTGGGGCTGCACCTTGGAACCTAACCTCCACCAGGGTTGTGGTGGGGCCCTCCATGCCACCTCGGTGAGAACCTGTCACCTGCGGCCCAGGTGCTGCAACCACGGCCTTTGCCCTCCCTCTCCTTCCCACAGGTCCCTCACCTCAGCTGCGAAGAGGGATGGCGGTGGTGAGAGAGAGGCCGCTGCATATAAACAGATGCCCTCCCCACTCCACGCACCCCCTGGTGGCTCAGGAGAGTCTAGGCTGGGGCACAAATGGGCCAGGGGGTGATGTCGGAGCCCGGGCTCCTCCCTACGTCCAGGGCACTTGTCCTTTCACTCTAGGCTCTGACAAACTCACAAGCATCTGGGAAACAGGTGCCCTTCTTCTTTTTCACAGCCTCCTGGTGGCCCCAGGCCTTTGTTGCGGAGGCTCTGCTAAAATGTACATCTAGGTCCCAAGAAAAGACCTAGGCCTCAGTATTCCAGACATCAGGCCCCATGTGAAAATCCGGGTCTGGGAAATCTGGGTCCCAGGAAGTCCTCATTTACCAGGAAACTCTCAGGCCTCAGCTGGATATCCGGTCCCAAGTTGACACCAAGGCCTCAGGTGAACACCAGGCACTAAGAAAACGTCAGGCCCCAGCTGAGATCAACCCCTTGGTGGTCTCCCGAGCCCGACCTAAATACCAAGCCCCAAGTTTACATAGGGCCCCAGGTCACATCAGGCTCCAGGTAGACACTGGTCTCTAAGTAGACTTTAGGCCCCAGGTTCACAGCCACACCTCAGGAGAACACCTCACCCCAGGTAGCTGTAAGACTCCATCCAGACATCAGTCCCCAGCTGGAGAATCTAGGCCCCAATGGACATCAGATTCCAGCTAAACACCAAGACCCAGTTGCGTATCTAGTCCATAGGAGGACATCAGGCACCAGGTTGACACACAGGCCCCACATAGATACCTACACCACAGGTGGACGTGAGGCCCCGGGTACATACCCAGTCCCCAGGTGACTATCAGACCCTAAGTGAACACCAGGTTCTAGACGAACATCGAGACTCAAGTGCATACCCAGGCCCCTGGGAAACATCAGGCTCCAGGTGGAGACCAGGACCCATGTGGGCAACCAGGTCCAGAGGTACATCAGGTTCCACATGGACACCCAACCTCCAAGTTGGGATACCGAGCCCCCAGGTGTACACACCAGTCCCCAAATACCGAAAGGTCACATATTCTCTGGCCTAATGCAATAGGTTCATCTCCCCCAAAAAATACGTATTTACGAAACTGAAAACTACACTTCTCAATCGTTCTCACATCAAGGAACTCTTAATAGAAGGCCAAAGACATACCAAAAGAACCAACCATGAAACGCCCGCATCCAATGCGAGCGCAATGCTGCTCAACTAGCCCCAGAGCCAGACCCGCCACAGGCTTCGCGTGGAGGACACACAGATTAGAAGGGAATAATGGAAATGTGGGACCTGGGATTGCAATAAAAGAAAAGAGGAAAAGGCAACCATGCGTACCGAGAAATCTAAGAAGGAAAGGCTGACGTGGATAACTAACCAACCCAGGCCCAATTTCCCAAGAAACACTAGAAACCACACCGCAAAATGAAGCGGCAGGCCAAATCAAGCCCAATCTGTCTAGATTTTCAAAAGTGTGGGTCTCTCCCAGATGGCTTAAAAGCCTACAAATTGCAAAGGCCACCCTGAACATGTCCGACCCAACTTGCAGAAATTCACCGCTGGGGAAAGATACAGAAACCAATGCAGTTCCAGGGCTTACCTTGGAGAAGCTTCCTGCAGTCCCTGGGCACCACTGGCTGGCTCTGTGGCTTTCTTGGAGGGTCCATGGCCTCAGCCTGGCCCCCTCCTTCAGCTCTGGTGCGTGGCTGCCAATGACATGAGTGGCCTGGACCCAGGCTCCTGGCGTCCTCGAGGAGCCGCCCTGCATGCTTACACAGGCTCCCGGCAGCAGGCAGTGCGGCGCTCTCACTCTTGGGTACTGGTTCTTTCCCGCTGGCAGTCTGGCGGGGCATGGCTCCAGGGTTCCCAGTCCAGTACCTGACTGAGATCTTCACGCCTTGGGAAAGAAGCAGGGGCAACTTACCTAGGCACCACCTGAGCCAAGACGGCGCCTTCCTCACAGCCTGTGCGGGAGGGCTAGGTCAAGGTCCTGGATGATGAGGGGCAGGGGCAGGGAAAACTCCCCACCCATCCTCCCCAGGAAGGGGGCAGGTGCATGGGAGCACACGCCCTGCAGGTGGACATAAGGCCCCAGTGGACACCAAGGACACAGGAAAACATCATGACACAGACAGTGGACATCAGATACCAGGCTGACACCAGGCCCTGGGTGGACACCAGGTCTCAAGGGGACTCCAGTCCCTGCATGGACATCAGGCACCAGGTGGACAGATCAGGTCACAGTCTGGCACATAGGTAGGCCCCAGGTGGACATCAGGCCCCAGCTAAACATCAGGCCCCAGGTGAACACCCAGGCCTCAGGTAAATACCAGGCCCCAGGCGGACATAAGACCCCAGGTACATACCAGGCCACAGGCTGAAGCCAAGTCCCAGATTTACGTCAGGCATCTTGGTGTATGTCAGGTTCCCAGACTGACACATAGGCCCCAGTGGAACACCAGGCCTCACTTAAACTCCAGGCTCCAAGTGGATGTCCAGGCCCCAGGTAAATATCAGGCCCAAGGTGAACAGAAGGCCCCAGATGGACATCAGACCTCAGCTAGATGCCTAGGCCCCTGTTGAACACCAGGCCCCTGATGAACATTAGGCCCCAGGTGGACACCCTGGCCCCAGGGGAACATCTGGTTCCAGATGGACATCAGGGCTCACCCAGGGAAGTCTATCTTGAGACACTCAATGTCAAGATAGAAATGAGGCCCTGGGTAAACATCACGGCCCAGGTGGACACCCAGGTTAATACCCAAGGTTAATACCCATCCCCAGGTAAACACCAGACCTCAGGCAGATTACAAGTCCCACAAAAACACCCAGGGCCCAAGAAGAAATCAGACCCTAAGCGAACTCTGGTCTGCAGGTGGACATCAGACTGGGTATCCACCTGGGACCTGCTGTTCACGGGGTGGGGACTGATGTCCACCAACACTGGGCATGTTGTTCATCTGCAGTCTGGTATTCACCTGGGCCCTTAGAGTTAACCTGGGGCCTGATGGCCACCTGGGGCCAACATAACCACCTGATAGCCTAGTGGTGAGTTCAGGCCTGGTATCCTTCTGGAATCTGATGTCAACATGCAGTGTAGGTATCCACCAGGGGCCTGATGTCCACCTGAGGTCTGGGCTTCACCTGGGGCCTGGTGTCCACCTGTAGCCTTGGTGTCACCCTGGGACCTAATGTCCACCTGGAGCCTGGTATCCATCTAAAGCCTGTGGTCTGCCTGGGGCATTATTATGTCACTTGAAAACTAAGTATCCAACTAGGGCCAATTTTCACCTGAGGCCTAGTATCCACATGAGGCCTGGGTATCCGCCTGCAGACTTGGTATCCTCCTTGGACCTGAAGTCCATCTGTGACATTCCGTCCAATGGGGGCCTGGGTGTAAACCTGGTGCCTGATGTATACCTCAAGTCCAGTGTGCACCCAGCTGGGACCTGATGGCCACCTGAAGCCCTATATCCACCTGGAGCCTGAGTGTCCACTTGGGGCCTAACATTAACGAGGAACGTAAGTATCCACCTGGAGCCTCATGTCTTCCTGGGGCCTAGGTGTCAATCGGGGGCCTGGGCATCCACCTGGGGCCTGATGTTCAACTGGAGCCTGCTGTTCCCTGGAACCTGTTTTTCAACTGGGAACCTGATGTCCACCTGGTGCCTGATGTCCATTTGGAATCTGGAGTCCACCTGGGAACTGGCATACGCCTAAGACATAGTGTCAACCTGCTGTTTGATGTCCAATATTCTTCAGGCTCCAGGTGGACGCCAGGCCCCAGGTTAACACCTAGGCTTCAGGTGGACACCAGGCCCCAGGTAAGTGCTCAGTCCCCATGCAGACATCAGGCCCCAAGTGGACACCAGTCCCCAGATGGACATCAAGCCTCAGGTGGACACAAACTCAAGGTGTACATCAAGCACCAGGCTCACACCCAGGCCACAGCTGGACGCAGTCACAGGTGGACGGCTGTCCCACAGAGGATACCAGGGACTCAGGTAATCATCCAGGGTCAAAAGGAACATGAGGCCCTATGTAGGCAGCAGGCGCAGGATGGATATCAGATTCCAGATAAACACTCAGGTCCTGGGAGTACAATACGCCCCAGGTGGACACCCAGTCCCCATCTGAATATTAATTCTCATGGGACAGCATGCTCCACATGGGACACCAGGTGTCAAATAAATGCCTAGGCACTTGGTGAATATCAGGCCCCAAGGGGACACCCAGGACCCAGGTGAATACACCTGGGTTGGTATCAGGACCGAGAACATCTGACTTCAAGGGACTAGCAGGTCCCAGGTGGCTAAGGAGGCCCCAGGTGGATATCAGGTGCCAGGCTGACACCTAGGGCATTGGTGGACACAAGGCCACAGAAAAACAATAGGTGGACATAGGCCTCAGGTGCACACTAGGTCCCAGATGGATACCTAGGATCAAGGTAAACAACAGCAACCAGGTAGATACCCACACCCCAGGTAGAAACCCAGCCCCAGGCAGACACCAGGCCCCAGGAGGATACCTAGGAACCCAGTGGACATCAGGACCCAGATGGACACCAAAATTCAAGTGGACATCAAGCCCCAAGTGGTCACTGAGGCCCCAGGTAAAGGCCCAGGTCCCAGGTCAAAACCAGGCCCCTAATGGACACCCGGCCCCCAGGTCATGGCGCCTCAGTTGCACACTTGACTCCAAATGGACATCAGGCCCTGGGGGGACACCAGGCCCCAGGTGGATACCTAGGCCCCTGGAGAACATCAGGCACCAGGTGCACATCTAGGTCCCCCCGACCGAGCTGGTCTCGGCAAAAATGATACACTAAGCATAACAGACCATGTAACTGTTTCCTAACATCTTTCTATCCACAAAGTTTATATAAGATTATATAAGATAACATCGTCATCAATGGGGAAAAGCTTAAACTCTTCCTGTAAGATCTTGAACAAGCGTGGCTACTTTTACCACTTTTATTCATCATGGTACTGGAAGTCCTAGCTAGAGCAGTTAGACAGGAGAATGCAATAAAAGCCATCCAAATTGGAAAAAAATCTCAAACTGTCTCTGTTTGCAGGTGACACGGTAATTTATACATAGAGAACCCTAAACGTTCCACAGAAAAACCTACTAAAAATAATAAATTTAGTAAAGTTGCAAGATACAGTATCAATATACAAAAATGAGTAGCACACACGTGCACCAACAGTGAAACACATAAGAAAGAAATCAAGAAAACCGTTTCATTACAGTAGCTACCCACCCCTCTAAAAAAATGATACCTAGGGATAAACTTAACCACAAAGGTGCAAGGTCCTACAATGAAAACTAGAAAACACAGATCAAATATATTAAAGCAGACACAAGTAAATGGAAAGATATCCCATGTCCATGCACTAGAAGAATATTGTTAAAATATCTCTATCACTCTATGTGATCTATGGAATCAATGCAATCCATGTTAAACTACAAAGACATTCTTCATGGAAATAGAAAATTCTAAAATTCACATGGAAATGCAAAACACCTCAGATAGACAAAAGAATCTTGAATTCAAAAAAAGCCAGAGGCCTCACACTACTGATTTCAAAATATACTACAAAATATACTATAAATCCATAGTAAATGCACATCTATAGTATAGTATCAAAACAGCAGGGTGCTGTAAAAAAAAAAAGGGGGGGGCAGGGGAGAGACAGACAAATGACAGACAGACATAAACAAATAAAACAGAATAGAGAACTCAGAAATAAATTCACGCATTTACAGTCAACTCATTTTTAACAAAGGCACCAAGAACACACCTTCCGGAAGGACAAGCTCTTCAATAAACTGTGCTAGGAAACACCCAACACCCACATGTACAAGAATAAATCTAGACTGTTATCTTATCATATACAAAATTCAACTCAAAATAAAAATTTAAATGCAGGACCTGAAACTATGAAACTACTAGAGAAGAAAACATACGATAAATGCTTAATAAAACTCGTTAGGAGAAGAAATTTTTAGACAGACATCAAAAGTACAAGCAACAAAAGCAAAAACAGACAAATGGAATTACATTAAACGTAAAAGCTTCTGCAACGCAGAGGAAGCAATCAGTAGAATGAAGAAACAATCCAGGGAATGGAAGGAAGTATTTGCAAACTACGCATCAGGCAAGCGGTTAATACACAAAACATAGAAAGCAAAACTACTCAAAAGCAAAAACACAATCTAATTTAAAAATCAGAAAAAAGTCTACCCCAAACCTTTGTACCCCACCATTTATTTCCCCACCTTCTTTTCCCAACTGCCTTCGCCCCTGTCCCTCTCGCCACCCTTTTTTCTCCATCTACCCCCAAACTTTTTCCCCACCATTTTTTCCCCACCATCTTTTCGCAAAGCTCTCTCTACTCTCCAGCTCACCACCCTTTTCCCCCCTCACGCTCTCATCATCCTCTTTTGCTCCTCTATCTACCCAAAAACATTTTCCCCCATCTTTTCCCAAAGCCTTCTCCCCACTGCTGCTGCTCCCCACTCTCTCTTCCCCCTCCAGCTACCAAAAAACTTATTCTCCCACCATCTTTTCCCCACTCCCTGTCTGCTCGCCAACCTTTTTTCCCTTTGGCACTCACCACCCTCTTACTACCCCTCCATGTACCCCAAAACTATTTTCTCCCCTCCTACTCCTCCAGCTGCGCTGTCTCCGTGGCCGCCACCAACCGCAGTGAGGCGAGGTGCGATGTCACAGGCCCCAGCCTCCAACGTGGGGCAAGTAAGTCTCCCATCTTCTAGTCCTCTAGCCGGACAGAAGCAGCTCCCGCTGCCAGAGGCCCTCCTGTTACAGTTCCCACGGTGCTGCAGTCTTGGTCGCCACCACCAACTGCGAGGGGGCGAGGGGGC